AATACTGTGCAAAAGTTTTAGGCCACCATTAGATTTCTTGTTTTAGCAATGTTATGATATATATATATATATATATATGTATATATATACACACACATAATGGAAGTGCTGTCAATTGATTAAAATATTTCATCACGATTGCCCATAGTTAACTCAGGCTTAATCTCAGATTATTTTTTTAATCTGTTCCAAACAGTGGTAGAAAGTAACTAAGTACATTTACCCAAGTACTGTATTTAAGAACAATTTGTAACAATCTGTAATTGAGTATTTTCATTTTATGTTACTTCATACTTAGATTTTACTACATTTTGTAGAGGCAAATATTGTACTTTTTACTCCACTACATTTATTTTATATTTTTTGTTACTAGTTACTTTTCAGAACCAGCTTAGTACAGTATAAGACCTCATAGATCTATGGTGGAAAATTCACAAGCTACCCAGCAGTAATTCAAATGAAATGCATAGAGTTAGTTAAACCTAGCTCCCCCTTTACCAGCTGTAACATTAAATGTAATGTATACTGTTAGAAATTACCCGATTCTTTTGTTGGAAGTGCGAGAAGTGAAGACAGGAGAGGACTGTTTAAAATCAACAGAAAGTTTACTGGAGGTCTGAGTGCAGGTGAAGTCTTACAGCGCTGGGATCAGAGAGACAGAGCTCCCGCAGGAATTCCATCCTCTGAACCCCGAGTTATGTTTTTACAATGCATTTATCTGGCTGGGCTAGGCCCGCCCTAAACAAAGGTACAACAATTCACACTTCGTAATCATATTGCCCATTTGGAGTGAGTAGGTCAACCCGTGCCTCTGCTTGCTTGCTGATATGTGATCTAGACCAGGTGTGTGTGCGTGTGTGTGTGTGTGTGTGTGTGTGTGTCTCGGCACCCTAATCTTGATCAAGCTGAACTGATCACTGGGTGGTCTGGGTTGCAGGCCCCCTGAGTGTGTGATGCTAATTTGTATGTTAAACCAGCCAAGTGGTCATCTCAGGTTGTAGGCCCCCTGTCTCTGCAGGACACCCCATGACAAAGCAGAACTTGGGATATGCTAAGTGGGTCCAGGTGTGGGTGTAAAACAGGCCAACAGGTCTTTGTTAAAATGTAAATAGGCTGTCTGGTTGCTTGGAGATGCAGACATCCTGCCTCAACAGATGTTACAGCATTCAAAGTAAGCAGATTCTACATCATTATCACTTGATTTTCATCAATACAATTTTAAGATATATAAGCAAGGAAAATAAATGTATTAAAATAACCAAAGCTCAGTAGTTTTGGACAATCATCAATACAGCTGTAATGTATATAAGCAAGGAAAATAAAGGTATGAAAAGTAACTAAGAGAAAATGAAGAATTGAAAAGTAACTAAAGGAAACAAGAGTTATGAAAAGTAACTAAAGGGAACTAAAGGTATGAGATGTAACTAAAGCTTATAAAGTAACTAGAGCCTATAAGAATCAAATCTTACAACACAATAATGTATCAGTAATTATAATACAAGAATATGATACACAGGAATGTGAAATGTGCCATTCTGCATAATAAGTACTTTGTTTTGATACTAATACTGTTATACTTTTACTTAAGTAAGATTTTGAATGCAGGACCTTTACTTGTAACTAGTGTTGCTTTCATCAATGTTAGGTATTTTTAGTCAGATAGATATTGGTTAGGTACTTGTTGTATTAGAAATGCTTTTAGTGTAGACAGGATGTCTAGCTCAGGCTGTTAAATGCTTACTCATTTTCATGAGTTACTCCAGGTTGTTTATGGTCAAGGATAACTAGATAGAGAGTTGATTACTGTATGACGTGTTTAATCATAATCATAATATCTTCTTATGCCTAATGTCAGGACATGTCACTGAATGTCCTGTCAGAATGTTTTTAGATACACACCACTTAATCAACACACACACACACACA